AAAATACAACAAATTTCCAAACTGACCGCTTTTGAAAAGTCTGTACGCGCACAAAAAAATAGATTGAGTTCAGGCCCTCAGCAAGGAAATCCAAGCACACTCTCCAAAAAATTGATATGGGATAGGCACGGGCTGGTTTCTGTACAAGAATATTATTAGTATATTATATCTGTATATAATTTTTTTCAGGAAATCATTCATTTCAGTGATGTAATTAGCACAAAGCAGTAAAAATTACGCTAATTTGCAGATACAATTATATTAAAGCATATAGTGATTGTCTATTTATATTTTCATAAATTAAGAATTAATTGAATTACAGCGGCAAAAGGTTTGTATGCATGCTCTTCAGTTGGCGTGCGCGTAAAACATTTTTTACATTGGTTTCTGCCTGTATTATAAATCCACAGAACTTACATTAAAAACAAATGATGCCTCGGGTTTAAAACCCCCCTGAAATGCTTTTAAATTGGAATGCAATCGGATCGCTCAATCCCCTTTAGGATGTGGTTTGAGATGCATTCAGACACACCTGGACAAGTGTAGGAGAATTTGGTTGAAGTCACATACCGTAAAACTTCAAATAATAGCCCAGGCTTTTATTTTCCCAAATCGCCGAACTGCACCAGATTGTATTTGAGACAGGCATCTATATGAGACAGGCCTTTAATTTAGTGTTGAGATGTTGTTCATTGAGTGTAGGCCTATGATAACGATCCAAATAACATAGGCTGATAGACGGAAAGCATGACAGTCGGAGGTTACCACATTATATTACGTTTTATTTATAATTTGAATGTGTTTAACAAATCAGTAAGAATTAGCCTACTATATTACCATATGTCTAAAGGGGGTCTCACACCGGACGAGAAACGCAGCGACGGCAACGGCTCAGGACCTTGTTCAAAATCCTGCCGCGCCACAGAGCGCCATTTACATAGTTTTATATTAAATTTACATTTGTCTCAAATCGTCGTTATGTATATACTGACTTCACCCTGTGCTTCAATACACATTTAGTTTTACATTCATTTACAGAAATCAGCTAGTTGAATGAAAATTGCTGATGTTATCAGATTTTCAGGTGATATTCTCAATTCATTCAGTTAACGTACACCCTGAGATAAAGTGAATTCAGACTGCAGACTAAGCAACGTAATTAATTGTACAGTACAATCATAACATAGTACAGACATGATCTTAATTCCATAATATCCTTAAACATAACAATGTTGCTGGCCATAAACTGACAAAGTGCGCATCCAGTGTGCTATACCTCAAGTTGTCAGACGCGACGCTGCGCTTCTCGTCCGGTGCAAACCCTTTAGATTATTGGCAGGATAAAAAAACGAAACGATGTGACAGCCATGGGCTGAACAATACAAGTTACTGGTAATATCCATCGAGCCTATGAACTTGTTGCCCGAAACACATCAACAAGAAACAATGAAGGCTACCCTGTAAAACAACTGCAACCATGCGATACAAAATGACCACTATCATCACCGCTCTCCTCCACTTCTCCCTCTCGGGCTCCGCTAACTCTGCCTGCCTTTCTTGTGCTAACAGCTCCCGCCCAGATGTGCAGGGCTCTCTTGCGTGCGCAATCTGCACCTTTAACTGCTATAACTAGCTTAAACAGATGATCTGACGGGTTTTAGAAGATTAAATACAACCCGAAACTAAAAAACAGACCAGGCCTCTATTTGAGACCGGCCTTTATTTATCCAAACCTGTAGCCACATCAGGCGTGTAAAAGAGACAGGCGTCTATTTGGGACTCGGCTATTATTTTAAGTTTTACGTTATGTAAAATACACTTCTCCCAAAATGGTAAAAAATAAAGGTGTGAGAGTATGTTATATCAGCTCCTGGCTACCAGATACCACAGTGCTACTGCAGCACACATCTCCACAGATACGGCCCGCCACAAATCAGCATCTCTCTTCAGCAAGCCGCAAAATGGCCGCGAATGAAACTCAATATTCAGCATCCTGAATCTTCAATAAAATGAGGTGAACACGAATTTCTCTCACCAGAGCTGATGCTGCTCTCTCCCATTGCAGCCGTTGCTCTTGAAATTAGATAAATAAAATGCATTTGGGCGAGTGCAAACGGAAATTTTGTATCAAACCGGATAACTTATCCAATAAAAGAGAACGCATGAAGAGGCCAAGTGTAAATATGCACTATAAAGCTTACTTACAGTAGTGAGCAATGGCATTGCTCTCAAACAGACAGAAGCCATCATCACCCTGGTAAGCAGGAACCTAAATTGGATCGAAACCACAACAATGAATTCATTCAACATCAAAGAACATATGCAAAAAAAAAAGAAAAGAAAAGAACACTGACCTTGCCCAAGGGAAAATTGCTAAGGAAAGCAGGGGATCGGTTCGTCTGCCCAAAGGTGAAGGCAGGGGGGGCATTTGAAATCTTCAGACGAGCCCCACTGTACTGGGCAGCAATCTGAGCCTTAAAGGCCCTCCAGTTCTCTGGGTATGTGTAGAGAGTCTGCAGAAACAAGGTTTGAAATCAGATTGCTGAAACTAATGCAGCTTGTTCGGCCTCCATTATCTATAACAGAAAATGAAAACACAAGCTGCCCCCTTCATTTAGACCATTCATAGAGCATTACACAGCACTTTCCACAAGCTGACGCAGCTGACAGTGAATACCCTGCAATAAATTACTTCACTGATTGTAAACAATGTTTGAATAATCAAATAGGGGGTTGCTAGTGGCAGAACCTACGAACCGGATGGTGTTGCAGTGCCATTTATTTGTAAACCATCTGTTATTGTTAATCTTTAAAACCTCTGATAGAGATTTTAAAGAGTCTGAAAGTGTTTGACACTACCACTGATTGTCTGAAACGGACGTGTAAATAGTTAAAACGGAAAACGTTTTACTTTGTCTTAACTACACAATGAATGCATAACTGACTAACGTTACGCTTTCTACCATCTCACACTGGTAATTTATGCTCTTAACCTTTACGAAATGTAAGTTAAACTACAAACATGACATTCTGCTTTTTACAAAAAGATTTAAGCGGAGAATGAGGGGCAATGGAAGGAAAGACAGGGGAAACGTGGCACAAAGAACGCAGTGCTGTACTTCTGCCCGTCATCACATTAACCACCTTATAAAGGGGTGTGGGGGGTATTTACAACTAAAATAATCATCGTAACAGCTTCATAAGAGACTACAAAATAACACGGTATGAAAACAACGTATAAAGATATAAGGATTAGAGTGATTGGGGTATGATTGTGGAGAGAGATGTGCTGTAATAAGGCATGTAAGGGTTTTCTCCCATCTTACTCACCCCTGCCGCCATCTTCAGGACGAGAGAAAGGAGGAACGAGTTGCGCGGTGCTGACGTATAGGCCTGTCCTGGCGCAGAAATAATACGTCATAAAGGCGTGAAAGTGAGAGCTGGACGACGTGTTTTCTCTTTATAAAATGTGATTAAACTTATCGCTGGACGATTTACTTATTTATTTTTGACAGCAGCCATATTTTTAACTTATATTCTTTGTTTTGCATTGCAAATTATTCATTCAAAAGAACAAGAATTTGTTCTCAACACTTTGCCTAGATTTGATGTGTTTCTCACACTGTAAAATCTCTTAAACTCATAAATAATAGTAAGAATAACACATTTCTTAAGAACTATGATATTATCTTTCTTACAGTTTGAGGTTTTCGTTTGTTTACCTCTTTCCTTTTGTTCTTTGCATTTCAAATGCAGTGGTTTCTTCTTTGCAATAAAAGGGGAAATTATATTATTTCAATGTTTTGTTGTTGTTGTTGTTTTAAAATAAAAGTGTTTAATCCTGTATTTATTCTTCTGAGAAAGAATTGAAATAAAATCATCTAATGACAGATCAGTCCCAACATCTGCTTTTGTGATCCAGTGGAAAAATACAGGCTTGGAACAGCAAGGTGACGGATTTTTTTTTTTTTTTTTACTTTTTTGGAATTCAATATCATTTCATATCAATAACAGCATAGTACTCTCACTTGAACACATATGACCATGTTTAAACCCATCTACAGATTTCCTTTCAAATCAAAATGTAAATAAAAAAAGTCTACAGATTCTGACTAGCCCTGAATGCTCAACTTATTGATCTCTGTAAAATCATATTTAAAGGACTTAAATCAACTTGCACTGATATTTATGTTGAAAATACATTTCTGTGAATGGACCCCGTTTTGAAATTTAATTTTAATTTTGTGCAACATTAAATATGATCAATGTTATCATTTTGGGGGGATGGTGCAATTTTGTTTATAACTAAACATGTTGAGAATTTATGGAAAAAATACATTAAAAGGTAAAATACTTAAAGTTATAGTGTCAGAAAACTGTGAGCTTTTTGTGTGACTGGCATAATAGGTTTCAATTGCAAATATTTTCCTGTCAAAATTTGTTGCTATGATATGTTATTAAAGTGGTGTGGAATCAAAATATTAGCAAAAATCAGCAAGACACACTGTGCAATATGTATTAAGTAAAGTAAATATCTTTGCTTAATATAAAAGAAAATCAAAATAGACCACAACAAAAAAAGACAAGATGGAGACATGTTCAAAATTGAATGAGTGCTGTATTACAAAAGAGAAATGTATTCAACAAAAGGCTGACAGGCATTTACAAAAATAATTCTAAAAATGACCTTATATAATAATGAGATTGAATAACTTCTAAAAGCAATGTGATGAATGATTCCTTCCAAAACTTGATTGTGAACTGCTTACAGGATCTTTCAACAGCCGAAGAACTCTATATATACTCTTTTCTCTGCTGCCTCACTATAAATGAAACAGTACAAAATCTTTCCATCATGTAGAACCACTGCAACATTTTGGTCCCATTCGACTTGATGTTTCACAAAACAAACTGTTGCTATAGGAAAACTATAGATATACCAACATGGGGATAAAAAGAAGACCATAATAAAAAAAAAAATCAAATGAATGGGGAAATAATTACAGTATATACAAACTACGTAGCATCCTCACACCATCAAGTTTAATATTTCCCATATTCTTGACAAAAGAATCAGCTCACAAGACCTAGAAGTATAAGAGTGAAACTTTTAGACAATGGTTGGATAGCACAACGTAACTTAGAAATGAATAATAATAAATTGAGAGAATCAGTTTTGATATCACATTTTAATAAATACAAGAATAGTATCAAATCAACATAAAAGTTATAGCACAGCTAACTGCAAGCCTCTGACATTAAACAAAGAGCTGTGACAGAATACGTTTATCATAGGAAATACATACCCAGGTAGTCATCCATAAGAGATCCAATGGCAAACTAATAAAAAAGGAACAAAAGAAATGGAGTGATCAAAAAACAGAAGAAAATATTTGTATCCAAAGAGAATATTATTCAGCATATTCAAGAGAAAGTGCCAGGGATTTACAATATCATTCTTATCCACTCGAGTTCCCACAATCTTCAGTCGAATTTCATCATCTTGTTGGATGACAATGTCCTGTTAAAGAAAACAAACTGAAATGTTCGATATTTGTACATATGAGGATTTAAAAAGAATCCTTTCAATAAACATTTCTTATTGGTGATTTATAGTCTTACCTCATCGACTGTCTTATAGCATGGAGGATTTGAGTTTGGGTCAAACTCCATCTCAGAGGGAATAGACTGGACATAGAAATATCACAGATATAAGACAACTACAAGTGACACTGAATATTAACACAATTTTTTCTCCATGGAAAACCTACATGACGAGAAATGAAGCAAGACATGGGGCCAATTTCTGTAAAGAGTCCGACCTGGAGAAAGAAAGAAAAAATACTGTACTGAAGACTATAAAAAATCAGAAGCAGGGACAATGAGTTTTATTAATACTGTATAAATGATCACTGTGCATGCAAGTTAAATGTCTCCACATTGAGTCACACTGGAGTAGGGTACATGAACTAATGAACATCCTGAATGAGTGTCTAGCACTAGAAGACAATAAAAATGGACTCGTACTTTGTTAACTTGAGTGACAACAGCATCCACAACTTCTCCCTTGAAGGGACGGAATACAATGGCTTTGTATTTGACGGGATACAGCACAAAACCTCTGCCAGGCTGTATTACACCTGCTCCAATATTATCGATTGTGGTTACTGCAATAACAAAGCCATACCTGTGAAACAAAAGAGAGACATTAGAGACTCATGTTTCATAATATTCATTACTTGAAGAATCAAGTTCTCAACAAGATCTCAAACCCTTCTGTTGGACTTACTTTCCTGTACATGTTCCCTCCACCTCAGTAAACAGTTTCTGCTTGACTGTGTTCAAAAGGTTAGGTCCAAAGTATCTTGGATGGAGGAGAATCTCATGCTCCAAAGAGATCTATTGTGATGGTTATTGACAAAACAACAAGCTACATTATGGTAATGAATATAACGTTACATCTAGAATCGGTTTATATAAACACACTGTATTAACAATAACACATTTGACTGATTTCGACTTTTAATCAAATACGGCAAGTAAATATATCAACACAATATTCATTTCAAAATGACGAGATCTGTCTAGCTGCATTTCAGCCACCAACACTTTTAAAACCCAGCGAGTGTGCAAGTAAGTTAAGTTAGCCGAGACAAAACACAAGCTGAAAATATGACATTCTTGATGATGATGATGATGATGATGGGGTTTATTGTACACGCAAACATAAAATAATTACGGACTTACATGATAAAACATCTCTAAACGGGTTTTAGCTCACAAATGTCTTGGTTTTAAATTTAAAAAGCCGCGAGGATTGATTTCTGCGTGTCAAGGCGCCGACCCTCAAAAGAATCGAGCTACAAACGCGTTTCCGGGGGACCATGACTTCAAATTAAGAGTCACATGAAGGCTTTTATATAAAAAAAAAAAAGAGAAGGTTTTGCTTCATAAATTGTTTAACCCCTTTGGTTAAATAAATATTTTGTGAGCTATTTTCTTTTATTAAACAACTATTTATTTACTATTTATTAAAAAAAATTCGATGCATCATAAAAATGCATTATAAAAACTCTGATTGTGATTTTATACTTTACTAGAAATAAACATCATTAAAATAGCCTACGTTTATTCAAATGCATTTCTGTCATGCTGTATAAAGGGTCCAAATGATGTTACCCCTGGGTTCTGCTTTCATTAATATTTCAGTCCACAATTCCATACATTTTAATTAACATTACATTCCACGAATGCTACATTTTATGTAATTAAAACTAGCTAATAACTAAAATAATGTTTACATATATTTTAAAATCACTTCAACAAATTATGCGAACTTTTGTATAGCCAAGTAACTACTTTTAATAGTAGGATAGGCCTACACATTTTTAGGCGAGTTACACGTTTGATGTGTTTGAACTAGATTATTTTAATGCTAAGTTAATTTTATGCTTTTTTGTTTTGTTTTTATAACATATTTAATTGATCTCACAGCAAAAATATTTTTCAATATTTTACCTCAAAAAACAAATGCATCAGTACTCCTTTGTATTGCAAAACATATTTTTCAAACGGCATGGCAATGTTTGCTATACAGATAGCATAGAACAAAGTGATATATTCATTCTAAAAGTATTTTAACATAATGTAGCCTAAAGGTAGAATTTCATCAGCAATCAGTCATTTTGTTGTTTCCACAAAATCAAGATTTTTACTCAATCAATTTTAAAAGGGCTACTTTGTCTCGAGAATCTCGTTCTCTGACATACAGAATGCAAGACAAAACATGGACACAAGAGGTCCCCATAATTCCAAACATATTCAACGTGTGGCCATTGATAGGACATGTACAGTTTTTCTCAATCGCTTTGGCTCAGTCAAATGTCGAATTTCTTTCTCAAAACAATACGTTTGAACGGTTAGATTCTTGATCACATCAGATTTTAATTTCTTATTGATTTGATTTAAGCAAATTGCATGTGTTTTGGCACATCAAAACTGATGAGTTGATTCTCAAACTCTTCACAAATTCTAAACATTCTTTCATCATATGAGCCTTCACATGAAAAATGATACATTCAATTATCAAAATATTTCAGACGTGCATGTATGACATGGAATGTTTGTAATGTCTGCTAAATTGGCAACTGGCCTGTCATTGTGATGAAATCACAATCAACCAATCAGGGTTGGAAGCATGCAGGAGGTTATATGGACTTTCTCCAGCAGGATCACTACCATTTTTGCAAATGGAGGAATGTCACAACCCTAAACAGCAACATCAGTTTATTTTTGTACAAATGTGTTATACAAGCTGAAAATTCACAGTTGCTTGTCATGGAAGAATATGTGGATATGTAAGAATAGGGGAAGACATAAGAGTGTGTAAAAATGAACAAGCAACTGTGCATTTTCAGTTTACGTATAACACATTTGTACAAAAATAAATATGCTGTATAAATAAAAAAAATTCAGTCCCTCTTTATATTGGTTGTCTTTAACTACCATTTACTAAAATTCAAATTAATAATTTGATACAATGCACTTATTATGTACATACGTTTTTACAGGCCTACTTGTATTTAAAATATAGGCTATATCAAAGTCATTTTAGTTAAAATAAATAGTCTCTGGCTATATGTATGTATATATATATATATATATATATATATATATATATATATATAATATATATATATATATATATATATATCATGTAATTGTAATTAAATCTATAATTACACTGTTGACCATTCTTTTACCCCTTAAAACACCCTTAAATCTATAGATAGTGTATACACCTGTCCCTAACCTTACCCATATCCCTCCTCAATAGCAGCAAAAGTGTTTTTACAATACCACATGAACACAATAAGTACCCTATACATTGTACTTATTTATAGTTAAGGAAACCTAAAATAAAGTGTGACCAAATGTCCAGGGTCTTTTTGTGTACGTCATTATTAACTTTACTGAAAATGACTGAAATCTGTATCGAAAAAGCATTTAGCATTCAGCTAGGCAAAACTGACATTTTTGTATAAAACAGACAGTGTCAACTGAAAAGTAGAAAACATATGAAATTTGTATATAACAAATATTTCCATGGTGGAAAAAACATAAACATTTTGACCAGTACAGCTGATACATTTTGACCAGTACACCAGTACACATGATGACAGAAACACTTTTACTGTTGGGGCAACGCATTCTCATCCCAAGGCGTCATATACTGACGCTTTTGCCAAAGTCTACATCCAACGCACATGGCACCCTTTAGCGTCAAAACACGCTTGTGTTAGACCACTAGGAGGCGCCTTCTGGCCCATATATATCTGCGTCTCATATTGACGCTAAAGGGTGCCATGTGCGTTGGATGTAGACGCTTTGGCAAAAGCGTCAGTATATGACGCCTTGGGATGAGAACGGGCTGGTTGGGGGCATTGGCCAATTTACTTACACAATAACTAGGTTTTGAAGCATGAATTCAATGTTTTGGGTGAGTTATACATTTTGCAGACATGCCATAGAGTTCTGATGTTCCAGCAAACAGTTGTGACATTTGCACTTACACTTTAGGGAATGTTAAGACTGTTTTGAAAGATGTGCCAAAGTGATTGAGAAAAACTGTAACTTTCTATCAGAGCAAGCAGACCGAGTGCAGTTTGCCTATAGGTTTGCCAAGGAACAAAACTAAAATAGATAGATAGATAGATAGATAGATAGATAGATAGATAGATAGATAGATAGATAGATAGATAGATAGATAGATAGATAGATAGATAGATAGATAGATAGATAGATAGATAGATAGATAGATAGATAGATAGATAGATAGATACGGGATGAGTTTAAGAGGTAAGAGGTCCCTTGCACTAAATGTAATGTGACAAATAAAGCTTATATTGGGAAATCCTGAAAGTATACTTCCAGTTTGTTGCTATTCTGTAGCTTTAATAGCAAGTTTTAAAAGCTTCTCTTTCACAAGCAAATAAAAGCAAATGCAGTGGAGTGCTATAGATCAGACTGTCTCACTATTGTTGCTGAGGCAGGTCAGATACCCGAGGACTAAAGCCATGCATGCTGATGAGCATGGGCAGATGTCCACACATATCTGAGCATGGTGGATGGGGTTTGGATCATGCATAGTCCAAATCGAAGACGGTCCTTGGGGACTTCTTCCTGTTGTCCGCACCACATTCTCGCAGAGAGCTGGCACTCATCGCATTAACCTTGATATTAAGAGAGAGAGAGAGAGAGAGAGAGAGAGAGAGAGAGAGAGAGAGAGAGAGAGAGAGAGAGAGAATGCTTGCAGATGTCCTCACAGTCACAAGTTCATGGCCTTCATGTTGTGGATGAAGTGCCTTCATTTAAATCAAACCCTTCGGTGGAATATTGCTTTATATCAAATTATACAGCAATTTCTCGTTTCAAATTGGTGCTGTCTTTGACTTAAGGAGAACACTGAGTGCAAATCCAATTCAAAATGCCTTAAAAGGATAGTTCACCCAAAAATTATGCCACTTGCTCAACCTCGAGTTGTTCTCAACCTGCATGAAGTTCTTTCTTCTGCTCAACATTAAAGAAGATATTTTGAAGAATGTTGGTAACCAAACGGTTTTTGGTCCCCATTGACTTCCATAGTTTTTTTGGGGGGTGCTATACAGAAGTTAATGGGGACCAGCAACAGTCTGGTTACCAACATTCTTATCTTCTTTTATGTTCAGCAGAAGAAAGAACTTCATGCAGGTTTAGAAGGGTGGTAATGAGAATTTTTGAGTGAACTATCCCTTTAAGGCAGACAGATATTTAAGATAGATATATTAAGACGATATTTTACAGATATAAAGGCATTTTGGCCAAGCTCTGTGGAACTAATCATAGACAGGTCTACATAGAAAAGTATATTTCTGCATTTATTTCAATGTATTGCTGAATAATAACATAATAACATACTCACTTAATCACTTTCTGCAACAGTAAACTCAGTTTGAAAATAAAACAAATGCATAATTTCAAAAATACATTTGTTTAATTTATTTGAATTTATTTCTTAATTCTCATTTCTGTGATTGATTTATCCATAGGAAGTGTTTTAAACAATTTGAACATGTAAGCAAATCTACAATTGTCGTTTATTCCCCTTTCATTGTGTGCACACATGTGTTTCGACCAACACGCTGTGTTTAAATATATTTCTCGTGTCGCTTTTGTTTTTTTGAAAGCAAAGCCCTTCTCCAGTGTTGATCCGAGTGCTCTCGGAGCTGATGGAAAGAAAACCCCTGTTCCTGAGCTTCAGCTCACTCCTTTCCTTCCTTCCCCCTCTCCCCCTGTTCTCGCCAAAGGTAGCTTTCAGATGCAAAATAAGCAGACATATGGAGAGGAGGTCTTTCTCCAGCCCTCCTAAAGATTCAGATTGTATGACAAATCACGTCCACCACCACCCTCCCAACCCCACACAGAATCTGCAGACAACAGCTTCATTAGAGTGAAAGAAGGAGTTTTTGCAGCTTTGTCGAGTCAAGCTCAGACTTCTTTCCCTTCTCAATTACTCCATTGTTGGCTGGAGATTCAAGTTATTGCACTCAAAACCATATGGCCGATTTGAACACCTACAAGTGATGCCATCACCCAAACCTACGGGTGCACATCTAGAAATAGAAATAGACAGCCATGGCACGTTTTTCTTTAACAAATGGATGTGTTGACTTGCAGTCCAGCAGGACTACTAAGTGAAAAGTCGAATGCATGGAACAGTCTGGCGGCGAGGTCAGGTGTATGGACTTATCATTAGTCAGGGAATCGCTGTGTACTTCCTCCCTTTTACGGTGATGTGGCTTGTGCAAAGCTTCTTCTCATTTTACCAAAGAGTTGCCCTGGTTACTTTCAAATATAAAGTCTTTAGAGACACAGCTCTCATTGTTAGCACTGATGCTGGGTAAACTAGAGGTAAATTATGCACTTGCACAAACACACGAAGACAAGTGAATGCCCCACCGTAGGGTTTGTATTTAGAATTGGACGTCTGATTGATAGTACTAGGTTCACGAACTGGTACATTATGTGTCTGACTCACAAAGAGAGCCGAAAATTTACATTCACATAGCTTGTAATGAGATTCCATTGCATTTTGATTATAGCACCTGTTCTGAAATCTTGTAAATATGCACAAAAACAATATTCCAGGTATATCTGGCAAACAAATTTGGATCCATTTAAATGTAGGAATGTAATGTTTATGAAATGCAGCTTTCAGTTATGCATTTCAGACACATGCAGCACACATGATACAATATCTGTAAAATGTCTAAATAATAATAATAATAATTATTATTATTATTATTATTATGCTTTTACAAAAGATACATGTTTTATGCATTTAAAAAAAAAATATCAATAATGTAAATATAACAAAACACCACGCATTTATTGTTTAAACAAATACATTTCAGTATAAAAACAAAATTCAGTATAGAAAGAAAGAAAGAAAGAAAGAAAGAAAGAAAGAAAGAAAGAAAGAAAGAAAGAAAGAAAGAAAGAAAGAAAGAAAGAAAGAAAGAAAGAAAGAAAGAAAGAAAGAAATTAGATGTGCAATATTTTCCAACATTAGCAAAATAAATTATATTTTATTTAATATTATATGTTTTTTTTTTAAGTAGGCCTTTAGCAGTTAATTAAAATATTGAGTTGGATTAAGTATAGATTTTTAGGCTTTATTAAAACTTCAAGAATATTACAGGGAGTGACAAAGCATGCTGCATGTCTTTAACCATTGTGCAACCATAGAATTTATTTGCAGTCTCTTCTTGCACGAGGCATGAGGAGCTGATTTTCTTATTCGGGGTGTGGTATCCCCGTACAATTGAAGCACTGGAGTAAGGAATTAATTATCATTCAAAAGTAATGGCCCTATTCTGCCCTGCTTGAATCCTGAAGAAGGAAGAAAAGGTCCTCTGGCCCCGATCCTGCCGCAGCGCCAGGGGAAAGGATTATTCCGGGGATTACCATGTGAAAACTTCTATCAGACTTTCTGACTCAAAGATCTTTTGCGAACAGTAATCGCGTTAATACCCGGGGATTAATGCTGGGCCAAATGCAAAATTGAATTTTAATTCGAATTGCATAAATAGATATCAAATAAATTAAAAGACTATTCTAGCGGAGACTAAAGCGAGTTTCTGTGCCTCACACGTCACATGCCAATCCAAGACTGGTCGAACAAGACCAATGCACCTTTCACTTCTTGATGTGCTTCACACCTGTCATGCAAATCTTTCGCGTTTTAATACTGCTCTCTTTCTTTTTCCCTTTTTAATGTTGCATTAAGCCATTGTGCATTGAAATATCAGTTCCATTCAGGCCGCATATTTAAGTTTACTCGCAGCAGACCCTCAACCACGCGCGTTGCATCGCTTTCTTTTTAAAATGTGCAGTGTGCATGATTGTTTTGGGGTTCGGATCAGACCCTCTTTAAGTAATTCAGTTGTTTCATTTTCTCACGTGCTTCTGCTATTGAAATGCAATCAGGTCTCGTGCACTTGTGCCTAATCCTGTCAAAATCTCCTTGGCAACATCTCTCAGCTGTGGGCAAAACCCTTCTTCCTCCCCACCGCCCCTTTCGGGGGGGCTGACACATCCATCACTTTGGTGGAAATAAGTAATGTTAAGTAACATTGTAAAACAATAACTTTTTTATGACTTTATAAGAGCAATAAGTACAAGGTCCAGACCAGATCACTAATGCTCTGACTGGAAGCAAAATAGTCATTCAAGCTGTTTTCTCTCTTTGAAGTTATTACTGACAGGTTGGTGTTGTAATAGTAAAATCGATCTCCCCCATCACCCCAGTCTGGACCTCCACAGAGTGACCAGAGGGGTTTTAAAACGCATGCATTCGCAAAAGCGTAAAAGAAAAGAAAGAACATGTTTGTTTATAAATATGCTATATATGTTTATGTGTGTGTATATATATATAGGATATATATGTTTATTTTATTTATATATAGGCCTATAGGCTATAGTGCAATGATGAATCACGATTAATCGCATCTAACATAAAATTTGTGTTTAAATAATGTAGGCTAAGTGTGTGTTTTACATAACTTTAAAATGTTATTTTAATGTAAAATACAGTGGAAGATTGTAATTGACCTACCCACCTTTTTTTAAATAACATATTATAAAAAGCGAATTGTATATGTTTAAGTTGCATTAAAGCAGTAGGCCTACTTTAAACATTATTGTAAAATGTTAAGGTTTTTTTTTTTTAGTAAAACGAACAAATAGCTATCAATCATTTATTTCCAGAATTCCTTCCACTTACCAACACATTTGATATACACATTTTATATAGGCTACATTGCATTTAGACCCTATTTTATGTTTATTTTTATTGTGCATGCATACAGGCCTTAGACACACACACACACGCACATTTAAACACAAACTTTTATGTTATATGCGATTAATCGCGATTAATCGATTTGACAGAATAATATATATAGCCTATATTATACTAGTCTGTAATAGCCTACTACTATTTGCATTTTCCAATGAAAAAACAGTCTCGGGTCATTCAGAAGTTCACTACATCTTCATGAGTCCATATTAGTTTATGTATCTAAAATGATGCATCTCCACTGTGCTTCACTTCATGCCAGCGAAAGCACAAACGTGCCTCAGAAGCGGGGTGTTTTTGTTCACGCTGGGACTATTTGAATAAGAATAATGCTATTGGAGTGTCGCAGGCCGAGAAAAATGAGTGACAAAAGCTCAGAGGCGCAGAATTTGGACGGGGGACAAGCCGTATAGAGCTGAAAAGAAGAGAGAGGAGAGGCGCACAATGGAACAATTCACCTTATAATCGCTTTGATATATCATACATGCCTGAAGACTCTAAACATTGTGTAATTATTTATAAATGACTGTGCCCCTATCGCCATAATACCGCACGGAGAAAGGCGCCGCAGGTCTCTCCCCAAACTATTTCTAAATAGTGCCCGTTCATTTTTTTTCCAAAGAAGGGCGAGTTGCTTGCAATTGAATAAATTGAATAATTAATGAACAATTGTACGGCTGTCTCATAAAGATGTCTTTAAATAAAACTTAAGGCTCTGGGCACAGCGGAGGAGTTTGATTGAACTGCATCTTTCACCTCGAGAGTTATAACTCAAGATGCGTGCAGCAGGCAGGGGGGATGAAAGTCAAATATAGGCTACACTAAATCCTTATACACTAACACGTTATTTGAATGTAAAATACAGTAAAAGATTGTAATTTACCAACATCATATGCCTATTTATTTATTTATTTATTTATTTTTACCAATAGCCTATTGGTAAATATATATATATATATTATTTTAAAAAAAACCTATTTTATTTATTTAAATGTATGCATTAAAGCAATACAAAACATTACAGCCTAAAATGTTAAAATATTGTTTTCAGTTAAACGAACGAATATGGAATATCATTCATTTCCATAATTCTTTCCTCTTGCCAACACATTTGAATTTTAGTTTTTTTTCACACTGTAAAAAAAGTTGCTGCCTAAAATGTTTACGTAGCCTACAGTCAACTTGGATGTTTATTTTCAACTTAAATTACATTAAACTGGCTTTTAAAATTGGTTGAATCTTGTTGTAGCTATAACTTATAAAAAAAAAGATAAAAAAAAAAATGCTTATTTTAAAGCAATGTAAAATATGTGGTCGAAACCTTTTGATCATATTTTTTTTACAGTGCAGTTATGCACATTGCAGCCCTATTTTATGTTGCATGTTATTGTTTAGTTACCATTTTTGTATTGCCACGTGTGTTGCACTTATGCTTTGTTTGTCTATCACAGCTTGCGAGAGGCAAATTCTGATTAACTTTAGTCATCACGTCGTAACATTCAGTAAAATAATAAGCAATAGGCTACATAAAAATAATTCTTTTTTTGCAATATACAAAATTGTTTGTATAGAAGTATTAAAATAACTAATACTAGCACGTTTTACCTTGTATTATAGGTAATGTGTAGAATGAAAAGAGCTGAAACGTTAAAAAAAATCACATTCATTTGGCATCAAATCAAAACAATTGTGTATAAGTTTGTCAAATAAAATTTTAAAGAGCTATGCCTACAAAATACAAAAAAGTGTCTTCTAGCCTCGGACCACTTCGTTTTGTCTCTTCTTTTCAATTTCCTTCAGAGATTTAAGTTAAAGTGGGCTTGGTTCATGCTGGACAGATAGCAACAGCTCTGCTCGCGTGGCTTGGCGGCTCTCCGGCTCTCTGATTGGCCAGTGGTGATTACAGGCACGCTTCAGAGGGCGAACAAACAACGGGCATAAATTATGTTAATGAGATGGTCGTGCGGCACGGGGCAGACCTGATGCAAACCATTCATTCATCCTTCACAAAAATGCCAAAGCGAGGGGGGTACGTCCATTGTCTCACCAGGATATATAAGGTAGGTGAGGCCAGTCGTGTGCCAAGCTCACAAGCTCACACGAGCTGATTGAGGGGTAAGAGCAAGACAGACGCGTGCCTTTAACTTCAACACAAACTATCTGCAGGACTCTGCAACACCTCAAACACCCAGTTTCATCTCTCAGCCCACATAAGGTGCGTATTTGCAGCCCAAAACACCCCCGATGCTGCACGCAGAGTTTTTGGAATGACTTTCCACGACTGTTTATTTATTTATTTTTTGGTGCATCCCTAACTCTTTTTTACTCTATATCTCCAGGTTATCAACAATGGAAACTGTCTACTCCGACATGGACACCTCAAGCTGTGACTACTCCTTTACGCACACCGACGATGAAGACTCGGGCAGCAGCCTCCACCCCGCGTCCCCCGCGTCCTCCTGCGGCAAGCCACCTGCGTCTCCAACCGAGCTGCAGCAGAAAAAGCGGCGCAGGGGGCGCGCGAGGAACGACGGCACCGTGCACGTGGTGAAGAAGAACCGCCGGATGAAGGCCAACGACCGCGAGAGGAACAGAATGCACAACCTCAACGACGCCTTGGATTCGTTGAGAAGCGTGCTGCCTGCCTTTCCCGACGACACGAAGCTGACCAAAATCGAGACTCTGCGCTTCGCTCACAACTACATCTGGGCACTTTCGGAGACCATCCGAATCGCTGACCAGCGGCAGAGCAAGTCAAGAGACCCTCCGTTGCTGCTCCCCGGACTAAGCTGCATGGGAGATGCGCCCAGCCCCGGCCGGGACTCTTGCTCCTGGCCATCCAGCGCATCCTCTTCGTCTTCATCCCCATCTTATTGCAATTCAGACCCGAGCAGCCCCGCAGCCATGGACGATTATGGATATTTGCAAACCGATGTAGTTTACAGCTACACCAAATTCGTACCAAGCATCTATTAATGTGACCTAAAGCATTCTCATGTCTGTATAGAGTCTGCAGAAGTATGTAGTGTAATATCAAAGGATGTTGCTGTTACTTTTCTATTAGAACCAAGAGCACAGAGACAACATTAGGTATTCACTGTTTGCCTTAATGACAGTTCACAAATGAGAATGTTTTTATTTTTGTATTTTCTGTACGTTTTGTTATTGATATTGATGCTTTTCCCGATATCTTTGCACTTTTTTGCATTCCTTGGAGGAGCATGACCTTAACCCCTGTTAGAGAAAATTATAATTTAAACCAAGACAGATTGGCCTTTGCAGTCCAAGGTGAAAAGTCAATATTACAATTTGTAGAGCGATAAAGCAGAAAAACGAGCGTGAAAATTCAGTTTCAACGCTGTGACAATAGGCTGAAAGGACAAGACAAAGATCTGGCCTTATGCATTATGTATTTTGACCTGAAGAAACCTCCTCTGTCTGACTGATCCGTAGCCTACAGTTAACTATAGCTCTCTTGACTGCTTTTCTTTTTGTTTTATTTATTCAACCTGTTGCTTTCGTATACTATTGTATTTTTATTGTATATAAAGAGATTTATTCTATTATGTATTTACCTCAAAATTTAAATCTGGTGCAAACATGCTTTTGTACGAATAAATATAACGTTTTCTACAAAAATATCTGTGCTTGCTTGTTTGCTTCATAATGTGACGCTAATATAGACCATAAACAACTCATAGCAATGTCTGGCAACATAATGGGCATCATTGTAATGAGTGCAGCCATTGAAGCGTCACACTGGGTCACAGCGCATAAAATAACGGTTATGCAGCAGGTGCATGGATATAGATCGAGATCGTACGCGTCATCTAATCTGTCAACCAATGCACATTTTATACACGATTGCACTCGATTGTGTCGAAACGTCCACGTGAGTTTTAGTCATTAGGATCTCAAAGATAAAATCTTGAATAAAAAAAAAATGCAAATCTTTATTGTAAAAAATGCACGAGGTGGCATTTGGTCACTGTGTATTTTACAATATCTGCAGCCTATATTCCGTGAAATCATATCAATATACCAACTTATCTGAGTTTTGTTTGTTACTATAAATTAATTAATAAGACAGGTGCATGCAATAGTAATAGCCCATAATAAAATAGGAACTTTTATAATAAACTTTTATACTTTTATATTAAAATCGAAATAAATGCCGCTATTATAAGGTAATAAAAAACATGTCTCAACTTTTTACCGTAAAACTATTAAATGTTTCCTACATTTTCTCCCTAAATTACTATTCTTCTAAAATAAGTTTGCATACAGTTTATTGTCTTTACAGTATCGTTTTTACAGTACTATATAAGATACAAAATAAAAACAAATTAACAGGCTTGTTTCTAGCCTTTTTACATTATTTTTCAAACCTTTTTACAATGCATAAATTAATAAAACGCAAATTCATTTACAGGCTAATCTGCACGTTCAGATAGCCTACTCAAGAACATTCTATAGCCTGAACATTCTATAATCCATTAGGCCTACACAATTTGCCACAAATGAAAAAAGAAAAAGAAAAAAAGATTGAATTATACAAATAAATTAAATATAAACAATCGAATATTGTTTGGACCTTATGTAGTCTACACTAACTTTTTTGGCGAATGCACATGGCTTCATGAACGTTTTTATTCTGTGCACGTTGTGCATGTGGATCAGTTGATTTCTGAAGGGGTTCAGGTTAAATCCTCTATTTGGGAGTTCCGCATGAGGTCCAGCCAAGGCTCTTGTATCTGCACGTGTCGGGGATAGAAAAGTATAATAGCGCGTGCTGAAAGCCTTAGGGAAGGGCGCATGCCAGCTGAAACGAGAAAAGGGGGCACATGCATGATGTTTATCACCCTCTCAAGAAGTTCATTTTACAGACCTTCACTGCACATCAAACACTGATGAGTCGTGTGGCACATTCACAAAGTAAAAATCTGCAATGGACTTCAAAGTACAGCACCCCCCATTCCCCCCCAACCCCACACACCCCCCACACACACACAAAAATGTCTTCATTGACATTATGACTATCTCTTTGTTCTCAATCAGCCATAAGCAATAAGCTTCAAACTGAAATGCACCTGCAATCTGCTATTTATTATATTGTTTAACATGCACTGTAAGAAATTATATGATCAATTATATGACAACATGTTTTTACATTGCTTTAAATCAGAATAACTTTTTTATGTTATACACGATTCAACTCAATTTTTAAGTCAGTTTAATGTAGCCTAATTTCAGTTGAAATGACTTAAACATCCAAGTTGATATACTTCAAAATTTAAGACAGCAACTTTTTTTTTGTTTTTTTTTACAGTGGCTATTCAACATATTAAATGTAGTCCAACTACACATGTGCATATTATTAGCAAGTGCCAATCTTCTGGAATTCAGAATTTCAACATGCAATGCAGAAACCATAAAAGATGGGTTATCATGGATTTACATTTCCTTGTTGGTTAAACTGATTGATGGTTTATATTTATTCTTTGTATGAATATTTCCCATTATCTAAACTAAAAGAATATAATATCAAGGATAAAAGAAAAGCCTGCAACTGAGCCTTACAGATGAGAGCTCTCCCCCTTCCCTTAGGGCTGAAAGCCTGTATCAGTGCAGAAGGGCTCACTCGGGTCACAGGTCACTCAAGGGCAGGAGACCCCTCACCTCCCAAGGAGATGGCCTCCCATGTCAACGAGCACAAAAACATCAAAACAGCCTTCATGTTTGTACAGCCATTTGCACACAGCTACATATCGCACCCCTTCAGAGGTATAGACATTATGCCTTGGGAGGTACATATACTTGACCTCACTTCTGTCAAAAATATCACTTGCATCATTTCAGTGAAAAGTGATGGAAAGAATGTAGGTATTTGGGAACGTAATGAAAAAAAATCAAAACTGTCCCGCATACACATAGTCTCAACAGATTCCATCACATATGGAGTGTAAGACAGTAAAACAAATCTGTTGTTCTATTGGATCTAAACATGTTTTTGAGTAGTTTTCATGTCTGGTTAATAACAGAAGCTGTGAAATTCTACTGATAATAATGCATTCCCAGCTAACAAATATATGGTTTTTGAACAAATTATAACATTTTGAAAACGTTGCCATTAAGTTATAAAAACGTTATTTCTGAACATTCTCTGAATGTTCAAAACGCCCAGTGTTTGTTTTATTGATTGATTTATTGATTTAATTTAATTTAATTTAATTTAATTTAATTTAATTTAATTTAATTTAATTTAATTTAATTTAATTTAATTTTATTTTATTTTATTTTATTTTATTTTATTTTATTTTATTTTATTTTATTATTTTATTTATTTTAAATTATTTTTAAATTATTTTTATTTTTATTTTTTTTACATAATTATGTGAAAGTTAATGGAACATTCAATTTAATCATTTGCAAACATTATTAGAACGTTATAGTTTTAACCTGAAACATTTAAAAAATATTAGACAACCATCCAAATAAAACGTTTCAGTAAAAAAGAAAATGATTGAGGAATGATGTATAAATATATGGAGCCCTGCAAATGACATGCGAGAAAAAATATGTACATTGTGGCCACAAATTAGGACAAAAAAGAACTTACCAATATGTAAGCACAATTTACTAATTCATTCCCTCATTTAAAGTAAATCGTGTGCACGATATAATAATTTATGCACTCGGTTGACTAAATCGTGGTCATGTTGTAATAATTTGTTCCCTTGTTTTAGTTTGAGGGAAGGAATAAGTTCAACGTGGCCCAAATTTATTAACACGAGGGAATGAATTAATAAATAGTGGGAACGAATTCTTAATTCATGGTCAAAATTTAGCTAAAACGAGTGAACGAATTCTTAATTCGTGGCCATGATATATATATATAACAAATATATGTTATATAGGATGGGAGGAGATATGTATATGTTATATAGGATGGGAGGAGATATTTAAATCAGGTCAAGATGGGAGGAGATATTTAAATCAGGAAAAGTATGACCAATGCATATGTGGACTAGATGCATAATTCATACATAAACAAATATGGACTCATGAAGATGTAGTGAACTACAAAGTGAACCGAGCATTGGAACATGCTTTGATTATAAAATACATTTTAGAAATATATGAAAAGAAATAGTAGAAATATATATGGGTTATATGGTAGGTATTTCTTTCTTTCTCCTGACCATAGATGACACAAAATCTCACCTCAGTACTTTTGTTGAATGGCTACGCTATTTTAAAATTTTGTCATTTCATCTGAATATCAAGATTTGTGAGATTTAGTCAGCCGACACAGTTTTGAGGGTAATTGATCTAATTTTGTGTCTAAATAATGATCTAAGACATTGCATTATGTTGAATATCAACGTTTTTGTGTCTATTTGTTAATGAGGGATTTGTGGACACATTATTTTTTAGATTTGAGGAGCATATAAGTTATAGTAAAAAAAAAAAAAAGATAAAATTAGACCCAATTGGGACAGAATTGTGGTATGTTGTTGTGTTGTTATTTTTTTAATGTAATAATTATTGTAATTAATGGGGTTATTATTCAGTATTTCCATGAATTATATATTTCAGACATCTTTGCTTTCATTAAAACCTATAGGTTAGTGCTAGGGTATAGAAAATGGCGGCCTGAGCAGCTTCCACCCAACAAGCGATTTTGCGTTTAAAAGACGTCTAATTGTCATCACTGACATCCAGACAAAATTTGGGCTGTCAGTAAAAAATTAATAGACGTCTAACCATAGCCCAAGAATAGACTAGTCATTAATTAGAGAACATCAAAAAAATAAAACCAAACACCTTGCAATCACTGTTGACTTTGCTTACATCTTGCAAGTTATTTAGGCAAAACCGACATGTAACCAAATTCAAGGTTATTTTGGCTAGAATTGGGTTACTCATAGTCAGACTATACCGATATTTAACCTAGACAGAGAAATTATGGCTATTGTTTGCTAGAAGCATGCTGTCTGTCAATAACATATACATAACGCATGCACGTGAGTATAAATTAGCTCGAATCGGTATGATCAGGGAACTGAGTGAAATACACCAATCCAATTGAAAAAAGTGCTGATTTTTTATGCATAAACTATGCATTCTGATATTCCCGATGTGAATATTATTTTCCAATAATTTTCTATTCTTTTCTATTCTATATCTTTTTCATGATTTTTGGAATAAGATGAACTGTGATCTTGAGATGAGTCCCTGCAGTTGTCCAGTTTGACTCTTCTGTAATATCTACACTTAACAGGTGAATTTTATAAAATGTAGTTTGAATACTATCTTCTCAGTTGTTTAAAATATTAAGACAATTATCGAAGTTTGATAAAATGTTTAATTTCATAAAAGATTTTTTCTTTGTTACATTTAATTACTTTGAATGATTTTGATTC